TCCCATGTAAGAGAAACTGTAGGCTGGCATTGTGGCATATGCCTATAATTCCAGCACTCAGGAGGCTAAAGCAGGAGGATCATCACTTGACCATTCATTTCACTTGCCCAAGGTCAGCTTGAACTACATAGTGAGTTCAAGGTCAGCCCCAACTACCTAGTGAGATCCTGTGTCACAAAACAAACAGAAAGAGAGACCTGGTATTTACACTTGTGTGTTTTACTTGCCATTAAGGTCTCAAGGTATAGCGAGTTTATTTTCCTTTATGGCAGAGCAGTACTCCACTGTGTGTAAAAACCCAATTTTTCCATCTGTTGATGGACATGTGAGTCCCTTCCAAGATTTAGCTGTTATGAACTGTGCCACTATAGACAAGGGCACGCATGGATTATTATAATATGATGTCTTTAACTCTTTGGGGAAGATACCCAGTAGGGGAACAGTTGGGTCAAATGGAATTTCTAGTTTCAATATTTTGAGGAATGTCCACTTTGATCTCCATTAGTGATTTTACTAGTTTACATTCCCACAGTGGTACAGAAGCGTTCCTTTTCCCTGCAACCTCTTCATTATTTGCTATTATTTGATTTCTTGATGATAGCCAATCTTTCTGGGGTAAGACAGAATCCCAATGTTATTTTAATTTGCATTTCTCTAATGGCCTTCTATGTTTAGCATTCCTTCATGTATTTATTTGCCATTTGTACTACTTCTTCTGTGATTCATTTCACTTGCCCATTTTTGACTGGGTATTTTAAAAAGATTTAAAACAATGTGCCCTGTACAAAATGGACATTTAGTAAATTTAATCAGTGAATTAATAGAAACCAATGCCCAAAATGAATGAGAAGACTGAAGAAAATTCCTAACTGCTCTAAGCAAACATTCAATAAGGAATAGTGTTTGATTGGGTTCCACACAGCTACAGACATTCAGAAACTGTAGAAAGCAGAAGAAACTGTTAGAAGTCTCAAGACAAGAAAATGTAGTGTTTTTCAAAAAAAAAAAAAAAAAGAGAAATGGAATCCTGCTAACTACTGAACACTGACAACAAAATTCCAGAATTATATTAGTGTTACTTAAAAACTGGTGGTCAACATATACTACGAGAAAGTAGTATAATTTCATTCTGAACAAGTAATAAGAGATTAAAGTGCTTTCCCTAAGTTATTAAACATAGGATATAAAAATTGAAGCAAAAGGGCCAGGGATTTAACTCAGCACCATAACTGCTTGCCTGGCAAGCACAAGATCATGAGTTCAATCCCCGGTACCAAAAAAAAGATTTAAAAAAATTTTTTTTTAATTTGAAGCATATAAAATCTGGATATTAGTAAAGTACATGTCAAAATTTCTCATATGTTCCTTGTGAAAATTTGGGACTATCTGAGGGGAATAATAGAAATTAACTGAATTTCTAATTGGCTGACCAACTTGAACCAAACAATTAATAATAATAAGCTTTTTATTACTCACAAGAGAAGTCTCTAGCACAGCAATAACTCTGTTTAGTCCTATCTGATCAACATTTTAATAAAAAAATTGCATGACAGCAATTATACTTTTATTTACCAAATGCACAGATCTGATACTTACTGGATGAGCAAATCAGGAATTTTTAAAAATGTGAACTGGAAAATATCTGGTAAAAATTTAACACAGATAAATGTAGAGTCCTATCAAAAATCATCCCATTAAACAATTAGGAAACCCAGGCATGGTGATACATGTCTGTAATCCCTGCTACTCAGGAGGCAGAAGCAGAAGGATCAAGAGTTCCAAGCAATCCTGGGCAACACCCTGTTTCAAAAGGAGTGAGAATACCACTTACTGGTAGAACACCTGGTTTAACTGGGTAATTCTCATTACCAGGTCAGAAAAAAAAAATTTGCCTACAATACACAAGAACTTGGTGGTTCTGTCGCCAGCACCATCAAAAAGTAAATAAATTGAGAATAAGAAACAAGCACTATTAACTCCATTTTACAGACAAGAAATCTGAAGCTCAGAGAGTTAATTTCGGATCATCTTGTTAGGTTGTAGCACTAGGATTGAAAGCCAGGAAGGCTAACTTGGAGTTTACCTTTTTCACCAGTATGTATTATTAGGAAGTAGTGGGACACAGTTAGCAAAGAAGCATATCCACTCCTTATGGGCCTGCTTTTAAAAACAGAGAGGTAACTTACAATCTTCTGTATCACTTAAAGCCTAACTCTGTATACTCTACTTTTTAATTTTATTTATTTATTTATTTTTGTCTTTTTGAGATAGGATCTCACTATGCAGTTCAGGCTGGGCTTGAGCTCAACTTATAGCCCAGGCTGGACTCAAACTCACAGTGATCTTCCTGCCTCAGTCTCCTGAATGCTGCAATTATAGCCGTGCACCACCATGCCTGGCTATCTCCTACTTTTAAGAATATGGATTAACTAAAACAAACCCATAAGTAAGTCATAAATATTGTGAAGAGGTTCAAATGACCAAAAAGCCATCAGGAGAGGTTAACAACAGAGAATATTTTTGTCAAGAAAAGAACTAGTGGATATGAACTCTTCAAATAGTTGAAAATTCATAATATGGTACATGTACAATAAGGCCATAACTTGCAATTCAGTTAAAAAAAAAAAAAAAAAGGAAAATTTTGAGTTGTCTAAAGAGCTTGGCCTCAGAAACTATAAAGCATTTCTCCAAAACAATATAAAATGCAAATAATTTTGCAAAACATTTCCAAGGATTCACAAACCTACTTTTAAAATCCATTCATGCCCCACACCTAGACAGTCATGTGTCTCAGATAACAATGGAAAACATTCAAGTATAAAGAGGCAAGAATATTTAATCATCTTTAAAAGCCATTGCAACATAAAATTCTACAACTTAAAAATAAACTCTCAATCTATGCCTTCTAATTTCTTCTGAGATCCATTATGATAATTTCTGCAATGAGTTTAAAAGAGAATGAAAAGATTATACATCCCATTTCAGGCTGTACTGAGAGCAGATAGGTCAGTTAAAATTTTGGCTGCAAGGACAAACTTGCATGTGCCACCCAGACTACATATTCACAAGCACATGGGGGAGGGGTCAGTTACACAACCACAGAATGGAATCGGAAGCACACTATTACACACTAGAAAATTCAATTTTCCTTCATAACCAACTAGAAATGAAAAAAAAAAGAGCTTAGTAAGTCTTGCGCCTTTATTAACAAATGTTTCAGGGCTCCATTGCTGAACTGCAATTGTACTATCAGAGCAGTGTTACAGACAGCATGTCTGCCATGAGACTGAACTGGTTGCAGGCACAAAATGATCTTCATAAATAACACAACCCCTACACAAGTGTGATAGAACCTAGGGTCTGGGCATTTGATTTTTCTCCTGGTGCTATTTGAGACTGGACAGACATGAAGATTAATTAAGTGATAATGCTTAAACTAAATTATAGACTAACTAATTATATGGAAAAACAAGCTGCAATGTGGATGAATTAAACTATATTTAGTTCTGAAAAAGATAGGTCATGATTATACCATGGAGGAAACAGATGAATTTCAACTATATTTATTAGACTAAGATTATTCCAATCCTATAAAAAAGTAAAATACAAGTGGCCCAGAAAATTAAATCTGGCTGTAGCTGCATAGCACACTCTGTAACCCAAGCATTCTTGGGAGACTGAAGCACGAAGATCCCAAATTCAAGCCCAGGCTGGCCAATTAGCGATTTAGCAAGACCCTGCCTCAAACACATTTTTAAAGGCTAGGGATGGAGTTCAGTGAAAAGGACCTGCATTCAATCACCAGGATCGGAAAAAAAATTTTTGCCACAGAAGTCAAATGAAAGGACATAAAACTAAAATTCAAGAGAGAATGGGGAAAAGAAAGAATGAGTTACCAACTCAGTGAAGGAAAGCAAGTGGCCTTTGAGATGGAATGAGGAAAAAGGAAAAGTATTCAAGGGCTCAAAGGGAGTTGCAGCAGTGAAAATGGAAAAACTGTGAGCCTATTTACTGTTTCATCAGAAAAGAAAAACAATACGGAGTCCTTTGCTGAACCAACACCCATCATCGTTAATAAAAATGCTTAACTCTTTTTAGAGCAGGGCACTTACTCTGCAGCGAGCTTTGTTCCAAGTGTGTTCCACAAACTGGTCCCTTCACTTCCCCCAATTCCTTGCCCTTGCCCCGCACGAGTAAAAACTATTATTTTACAGATGAACACGTGCTGAGCTTGCGTCCCCTTCGCAGTTGTGTCTCTCAATGAAATCCCACAAACCTTCCTACTGCTCTGAGGAGAAGGATCATGGTTTCCAGAATTTCCCAAAGGACTCTAGGCCTTAAAATAAAGTGATCCTCTATTTCACAGAAAGTTCCCTTGTGGAGTACGCGAGGTTCGGGCACAAAAACCTTTGGAACTCTTAACAAACACCTGGTGGAGACAGATAGAGGCTGTGGGTCCAGGAAGAAGGAAAAGTCAGAAAACCAGATTCGGAAGCCATCCTTTTCCTGACGAGGTCAAAGCAGAAAGTAACCGTTCCCTCTTCCACCAGGCGCGATGCAGGGTCGTTACCTCCCTAAATGATCTCCGAGAGGAGGAGGAGGACCCTCGCGGGCTGCCAGTCCTCGTCTGGATACTCGGGATATGCGGCGCGGGGGAGCGCCCGTGGGAATGGAGATGCGACTCCGAGGGCCAGGGGACCTCGGGCTCGGGGAAGGAACATTTCCTAGGCAGGCGCCCGCCTGGGTCCAAAGGCCCCAGGCGCGCAGGCCTGCACTCTCGCCCCAGACCTTACCGCCGCTCGGACGTACAGGACCAGGCGGCCGCGAGGCTGTCGGGCCGCGCCTCGGGCGAGTCTCCAGAAGCCGACGCTTCTCTGGCGTCCACACTTGGCTGCAACTAGGTCCCAGCAGACTCACACCCGGAGAGCAGGGGTCTGCCGGGTCAAAGCCCAGGATTTGGAGGCCCTAGGACATGATGGAGCGCGCACCCTAGAACCTACCCAAAGAGAAAGAGGCAGAGCACTCCCCGGGTGCCAGGCAGCGACGGCGGCACAGGCGACAGCGCTGCCGATTTCGTCCGCCCTCACTCCACAGAGCGACAGCCCCGCTTCCCCCGCGCAAGCTTTGGCGGCGGAGCAGCACGCCGCGCGCCGATTGGCCCTCAAGATGCGTGACGCAAGGCGACGCTCCCCACAGATTGGCCTGGCCGCCAGTGCGTGCAAGGAGTAAACAAACCCCGCCCCCAAGCTTCCCCAAGATGGGAGGGGGTCTCGAGCCCCGCCCTCTTCTCCCCACCCTCTAGCTAGCGCCCCACAGCGGTCGGGTCACCTCATCCACCTGAAGCCTCAACTTCAGGAACGCGCCAAGCCTTCCTCTGTCTCAGTCTTTTTCCCCTCACCATGACTCTACCCTGGCTCCAGAATGTGAATCTCTTTGCCATCCATTCCCATAGAAGGAATGTATTCACCTTGTAAACAGGGAAATGAGGTTGGTTATTATCTTGATCAATGGGCTTTTGGTAGGATGGGGACGGGACGACGTGAGTGACGCCATGCAGTGGGTTGAGTCAGGGCATCTTGAAATTATTCAGACAATGGATTACAGTCCACTGGAGATGAGGACGTTCTTCAATACCCAGGCAAGGTAAGATCCAAAACAGGCTAGAACATCGTGCCACGTGCAAGCTGAAGGCTGAATCTTCAGCTGCATGCACCCCTGACTCCTGTCAATTTCAATCAGTATTAAAGATAGTGTTCATTGGTGCACAGGTGAGAAGTCCTGTCACGCCATGGAACTTCTAAGGTGAGGTGGGAGGGCCTGACCTTAAAATTAATTAGGTCTTTTGTTATTTCATTCCGTTCAACTTTTATTGACCTTCTTTATGCCAAACGCTATTCTTGATTTTGGGGATACATCTGTGGACAAACTATAGAAAAACTTCCTGCCTTCACTGAACTTACATCCCAGGGAGATGATATACAAAAGAAATAAGTAAAGTAAAAACTATGTCATTTGCTGGTATGTGCTGTGAAAAAAATAAGCATGTAAGAATGGCTTCAGTTTTCAATAGGTAACATTGAGAAGGTGCTATATAAGCAAATATCTAAAGGAGTCAACTTTGGATCTTTCTTTGGAATGGGATGGAGAGATAATTGCTGCACAATTGTTCACAGATAAAGTTCTCAGAGTCCAAAATACCAAATGCAGAACTTGTTAACAGATATTCTAGGGCTGGGGATTTAGCTCAGCGGCATAAGTACTTGCCTTGCAAGCGGGCAGTCATGAGTTCGATCCCTGGTACTGATAAAAAGGAAAAAGACAAAACACACACACACACACACACACACACACACACACACACACACATTCTAAAATGCAGAAAAACCCCAATGGAGCAATTACAGTTCCAGTGTATTAGTCCACTTTCCTGTTGCTGGAAGAATATACCCAACATCACAACTTAAAGGAGGAGAGGTTTAATCTGGCTCTTGGTTTCAGAGGTTTCATTCCGTTGTCCGTGGGCTGCAAGACAGGAATATAGTGACAAAAGGGCATGGCAGAACAACACCGCTCACTTCGTGGTGGCTAGGAAACAGAGTAAGCATCAAAGAGGAAGGGACAAGGGACAAAGATCATGACCAACCAAACACACCCAGTAGTGTGCTTCACCAATGGTGTTTTTTTAAACTAATGGTGGTTCTCAAGCCATTCAAGTTGACAACCCAAATACCTAGTAGCAAATCAATAAAGATGTAGTCTTCACAAGAAACTTCGTTAAGGTATTATATTTCTTTTATTTAACACGTATTTATCACTCTACACACAAAAGATACAAATATTAGAAGGGTAGGAAAATAACTTCATCCTCAAGGAACTTAGTCAAGCAGGGAGAAGTACTAAAAACCACTCCAATATGAAATATCAACGACCTGGGAAGAAACTGTGTGGAAAAAAAAAAAAGAAAGAAATATCAACGACCATAACTGAAAGTAGACACAAAGTGCTTGGGTTAATGTGGGGAAAGTAGTAGATGTTGTCAAGGAACTGTAACTCTTCCCAGATTTGGGAGGTCTATAAGGAAAGCTTTATCTGTATAGAAAACTCATATTAATTTTGGGATAAGATTATAGCTATAACTTCTTTCTAAGGTGACAGTTTGAAGACAATTTTTATTTGAACCATATGAAATCACTGATATTTGGCATTTTTTATATGCTTGCCTTTTGCAGAGTTAATTTGAGGCTTTTGTGAGGTGTTGAACAATAGTAGGTGTTGAACAAATGATGGCAATTATTCTATAGTATTGGTTTTGAAAAAAAGATTTCAAAATCAGTGTTTCATAATAGCTTCAATTGCCATAAAGTAAAATAGGCAATGAAAGTTTCAAATTTTCCATATACTAGTTTGATCTAGCTGTGAATTTCCATGACCTAATCAGAGTATGCTGTGAAAGACAGTGAATGCTAGTTTCACAGCAGGCAAGAAATTCAGAATAAGAAGGAACAGCTTGGTTTTGAAGCCAGAAACTGAAAGTTCTCCAGAACAGAATAAATTGTTGAGTTGCTACAGGGAAAAAAATTCATGTAAATCAATTTTTCATTCCCACTCATGTTTCAATTTAGCAATTTGCACACTAGTCAGCTTTCTGTCTTTCTTCTCATTCCCCATTAAGGGATCTTATTTCCTTTGATAAAGGAAAGAAAGCTACCACCACTCCAGTGCCAGAGGGTAGATGTCCAAAACGTGGCGGCACACTTACTGATTCAGCAAACACTTGTAAACGCTGTGTGCCAAAAACTGTACAAGAGGCTAGGCATGGTGGTGCACACCTGTAATCCCAGCACTTGGAGGCTGAGGCAAGAGGATTGCCTCAAGTTCAAAGCCAGCCTGGGCTACCTAGGGAGTTCAAGGCCAGTTTGGACTCGGTAGGGAGACCCCATCTCAAAACAAACAAACAGAACTGTGAAAGATGTCAGAAACAAATACCAATGTCCAAAGAGCTCTCTTCACTAGTGTTCCTTGTGTGGGGAAGGGTCCCCCCCAGCTCACCTGCAGCTCACTTTCATATGCCTTCTCATCCAAGTTTACTAAGTAACACTTTCTTCAGAAACCTACCCTTGATTCCCCATCTCTAGCTCTTTAACGGTAAAAATTCTCTTTGCCATTCTAACATTCCTAAATATGCAGTTGTTCATTTGGTATCAGTCTTCCATGGGACTGTAAGCTCCTGAGATAAGTTATGTCATTCTGTTCCCTAGCATATATCCTCAAGAGAAGCTTGGTACATTTTCAGTGTCATTGTTGGGTGGATGAGAGCGCCATAGCCTGACACAGTTAAAAAAAGAGGAAAGAGGAATAAGTAAAGCCTCTCTATTTGTAAACACGTGGGCCATGAGTCAGCAACAAAGAGAGGCTGTGAAAATGGTTGTTAAAGGTGAAACCTGAGTTATTTCCACGTGCTGCTCTTCTGCTGGATGCTGCTTTTTTTGCAGGTGCAGTTATAGGGCAAATTTCGATATGCCAGAGGATCACTTGAGGAACTTTTGTTGCAATATATACTATAAAGTGGGACCAGATTGTTTCCAATAAGCTTCCAAAGGATGCTGGTGCTGCCTCACCGGCCTAAGGTCATGCTTTCAGTAGTGAGGTCTTTTTAGGTACCTTTTTAGCTCAAAGAAAGATCTGCTGTCCGGAAAGTTCCAGACATGCTTTTTAAATCCTCTTTGACACCTAATCTATACAGTGACTGACAAAAGAATACTTGAAAGTGTTCATTATAGGGTTTTGTCTTCCACAGATTGTCCTAGTATATATAGCCCAATCACCATAACAGATGTGGTCTCTCCCTAGTTCATTTCTGGAAGGACTAAGTTGGGGGAGTAGAGTGATTTTGCAATCGTGCTTCACAAAAGTAACCTCTTCATAATATCAAGCCTTTTTTAATTTTTAAATTTTTTTTTTATTTTTTTCTGGAACCAGAAATTGAACTCAGGATCTCACACTTGCCAGGCAGGCACCATGCTGCTGAGCTATTTTCCTGGCCCCAATATCAAGCCTTTTTGTGGTGGAGGTGGGGATACTAGGGATTGAACCCAAGATCTTGTCACTGTTACATCCTGAGCACTTTTTCTTTTTTCTGAAACCAGTTCTTGCTAAATTTCCCAGAGTAGGCTCTAATTCACAATTTCCCTATCTCAGCCTCCTTGAGTCCTGGGGTTACAAGTATGTGCTACCATGGTCAGCTGATCTCTTATGTTAAAATATCTTATTCATGTCTGCCAGTAATCCCAGCTACTTGGGAAGCTGAGGCAGGGGGATCACAAGTCTGAGGCTAGCCTGGGGGAACTTAGTGATTTCTCAAAATAAACAATAAGAAAGACTAAGGTTGTAGCACAGTAGTAAAGCACCCTTGGGTTCGATCTCTAATGCTGCAATAAATAAATAAATAAACCTAGGAATACAATCCAAGTGTAAGGTATAAGCTGGAGGTATGCAACTCAGTGATAGAGCACTTGCCTAGCATGTGCAAGACTCCAAGTGTGACCCCTAGCACAGCTGAGGGAAAAAAATGATAAACTTTCATGCATTACCTTTAAGAAACAGAAAATTAACACTATTGGAACTTTATGTGCACCTCTCCAGTTGAGTTCCTTTATGTTCCCCTTACCAAAATAACATCTTAAATTTTACAATTTCTTTATTTTTCTTTATAATGTTAACAGGAATATACATGTCTCTACACAAAACCCTGTTTAGTTTTTCATGTTTTGAACGTATATATTTCAGGTCAAAATTTATTATTCATCTGCACATTGCTTGTTGGCTCAGTACTACCTTTGAAAGCCATCTGACCTGGTATATCTAAATGGGTGTTCATTTCCACTGAAGTAAAAATGATAATATGATGTAATAACTCTCTTCTTGATAGACATTTGGGTTTTTACCCTCTTTTCTATTTTGATATTATGAATATTCCTGTACATGTCATTTTGTATATGTGAACATTTCCAGAGGGACTTACATTAGTAGAAAGGTGAGAGTCACTGTATTTAACTGGCAATGCACAGATCTTAGCTTGTTCTCCTTCCTCATAAACATCCTGACAGAAATCTTTATATATATTTTTGGCTTCCAAAAATGAAAAT